TCGCTGTCTCACAAATATGTTAGCTTCTAAGTGCCTATACGAAACCGGATGCATTATTATCAAACTCCGCAGCCTTTTCTTTTCTCATTCCGATGGAAGCAAGCTTCAAGAACTCGCACGTTCTACAAACGTGTTATGAAATGAGCACACAGCAGCATTTAGGATTTACGAGATTGTAAAAAAATAAAATCCCGTGACGCGATTTTTTTTTTTTTTTTTTTTGCACAGCCTTTCAATTTTTTTTTTTCCGTGCAAGCCGCGACCAGCGCAATACTGGTTCCTATGTCAAGATTCATGGATGCAGCGTTTGTCAAGATTCATGGATGCAGCGTTTATATTCCTAAGAATGAGTGGAGAAGAAAAATATGTAAGCGAGGTGTGTGTCAGTTGACGGCACTTAAAAAACAAATGGCATTGATAGCACATTCATTGTCAACAGCACGTGGCCGAACCGTTTTGACATGAGCCGGTAACCGTTATTTTTTTTTCCGGTTCAGTTCTGGCTCGGGTTCATCGCGATAACAATCTAATGGTTCGGGTTCGGGTTCAGTTCCGGAAAAAATACCGGTTCGGTTCCGGTTTTCCGTTCGGTTCCGGTTCGACACCCTGATATATACATATTGTAAAAAGGAGGTAAATGCTTTAAAACATATTTATTACACAAAGTTCTGAGCGGGAACCACTCTTCATCAGGTCCTAATATTGCAATGGAACCTGGTACCTCGCCACTTTGACACGGCAAAAAAAAAAAGGAAAAAAAAACCGAGAAAAGGCAAAAATCAATCTTTTTTAAAACTGACCATGGATGGACAAAGGCCGCAACCAGGGAAGGGGCCCCGCATTCGTCCCCAAACCACCTCCCGCTAGGCGCCATTGGGGCTCGGCAGTGTCCAGAACGAATTCAGGTAAGAAAACAAAACCAAGTGGGCACAACAGCGCTCCCCGGGTGGCCAAGAAGAGCCACCAGACACACAGCAGCAGGGCGGACGCGAACCGAGACGCGCAAAGGTTCATGTTACATACCAAACACCCGTCCCCACACACCCACATGCCCAAGTGTGCACCTCCCCTCTCCCCATCTCGCACCAGAGAGTCAAGGCATTTCTCGAGGTCGTAATGATGCCCATTGCGGGCATCTCCCCGCACTGAACACTGGTCTGTTCGTCTTCCTGTCAATGTGGGGGTTCCGAGGAGGTTAACTATTCAAGATGCCAGTAACTAAGCACACCGGCGCTCTCGTTAATGCCCGCTCGAAGCGTCTTAAACCTATTAAATAGGTATGACTCTCTTTCCTCCATCTCGCGTGCTGTACTGAATCCAGATTGAAGTATGGCTGCAAATATTTTCTTCATGTAGTGTTCATCGAGACACATATGTTTGGAGAACAGGAGTTTGGGGATTGTGCTAAAGTGGGACTTGTGATTGTAAATCTTAGACGGAAGGGGAGATTGGTCTGCCCAATATACTGTATGTTGCATATCCGGCAGTGCAGCAGATAGACAACATTGACTCTATTATTTGCGCTTTTTGCCTCCCTGGGTTCCGTCATGTGGCTCCACACTTTGCGCCGCGGCCCATGGCATGGCCGAGATCTGAGGAACTCCTTATGTGTGGTTTTGGAGTGCGGTCTGTACTTGTTTTCGTCTCAAGAACCGTAGTAAAAAAGGTCCGGCTCCTCGCAGAGCATTCCTAATTTACCTCTTTGTGTGGATAATTAAGATATATGTAGGGGAATTTGAGATTAGATATGTTATCTCATCACGACGCACATGTTCCAAACGCCAAAAGCATAGCTTTTTCCTCCGACAACCAAATCTCGTAAGAACTACTTCGCGCATCGTATGAACAATGCGCAAAACTTGTTTTTTTCTTGAGGTGAAAACGGGTATAGTGTACTAGCCTTTTCTATAGCACAGTTATTGATGCCTGGTGGATAAATTTGCCTACGAAGTGCTGTTGTTAGATTATATGTGCATTTTGTTTGAAGTCTTGTTTGTTGCTGCATATCTATTTGCACCTATGCGCATGAGAATAGGGCAAACTATTTTTGCAGTGGCGGGGGTGGCAGCTATCGTAGTTAAGATACTGTTGTCGGTACCAGGGTTTTCGGTAAAGTTAAGTCAAAGTTTGCTTTCGTAAATTTCGACGGTAATGTCCAAAAAACTATATGACCGCTTCCATACGTTGTGGGTGAACCAAATAAAGGATTGAGCCAAATTTTTTTCCGAAATAAATGTGTTAGTTTGGGGCCATTTTTGTGCTCATGGCAGTCCCGCTAATTTGCAGGTAATCTTCGAATTCAAAATGGCTGCATTCAAGCACGAGTCGTAACAATTTCGTTAAGGACTGACAATCGAGAATCGGAAGAATTGTGGGTGTTTACATACGCTCCAGTTACAGCTGCGATCCCCTCATCGTGTTGAATGTTGGTGTACAGCGCAGTTACGTCCAATGTTACCAGAAATGAACCTCTGGGTATAGTTAGCTGGGATGAAATGGTTCTTGTCCCCCAAAAATGACAGAAAGGTTGGGAGGATTTCTTTATTTAATGTGTCAATAAAATTTTATATTCTTTCAGTAACTGTTCCTATGCCGGACACTATTGGTTCGTGAAAATACTGTCGGAGACATAGACTATGGGAGAAGTTGTCCACATCCTGGTATAACTGAAATTCGTCATACCCTCCCGTTGCAGGGGAGAAGTTGAGGCCCTTCGAAAGAATCGCTAACTCTTCTTGTGAGAGTGTTGTGCTCAACAAATTTACAATATTGCTGCCAATTTCATTCTGTTGAGAGGATGCTTTTTGACCGGCGAAAGAGGCGGGAGACGTCCGTGTAGAAATGCATGGGCCCCAAGCACAGGGGTTTATTGTCCTGAGGTGCGAACGCGAAGTCGCCTCAGGCAGTGTGGGTTCATTTGATGTTCCAGATGGGATGCCACCTTTGTTAATAGAAGTGTATATCCGAAAGTCTCGCTTTAAGACGGTGTTACGCTGTAAATGCCGAGAGGAAATATTATCACAAATTTTTTTTCTCCTTAAGAGCCCGAATTTTGCGGAACCGTTTTTGTTCATATCGTTCGAGTTCATCTTTCTCTGAAGTTGCAAGTAAGCCATACGCTCTCCTTCCCTCCTCCTCCTCCAGCTCCTTCTCTGATGTCATCTTGGTGTGGTGTTGGGTTGTAACTTCTATAAGTTTTAACAAAGCCTCAAAGAAGGTGTTGTCCCATCTCTGCCGCTCGTTTGCATTGAAGGTGTTCAGAGACGACAGGATCGATAATTGAAAGCCCTTCGGGATGTATTTCTTCTCCATGTAACTTTGAAGTGTGTCCGCATGCATTGCGTGTCAAATATGTTTATCTACGATTTTGCGAATCTCGAGGAATGTCCTAGATTTAGGATGAATGAGAGGGACGACACCTTTCCACCGAGTCATTTCCCCCTCCCAGAAAGTGCGACGGCTGCACTGGCGAGAGTTTTTCTGAGATAGTAGGGTGCTCGCGGTGAGTCCACCGAACTCCTCACAGGAGGCGGTGGGAGCGGAACTCCGCTTGCCAGGTGGACAAGACCGTGCCACAGAAGGCAAAGCATCCGGCCTGGTATGCTGGCCCCACTTAACAGGACGCACTCCCGCTGTGGCTTGTATGTCCCCCCGTTGCGGCAGAGGCGGTTGTCCACCGAAGCGTCGGTCAAAGGTAGCTAGCTGGTAGGCTTGATCAGTCTGCATCTGAGCATGGCAGGTGCAAATCGAAGGCGCAACGTGGTCCAGCCACCCCGGGCGATTTCGGCGCCCTCCCCAGAGCACCTGATGTCTCGGTACCCGTTGAATGGTGCCACCGCTCCAATGGCCAGTGAGGTCATTGCCACCCACGTGCAGCACGAGTTCGGTAGTTCTGTGGCCTCCCTGTTCCTTTCTCTTCCACATTAAAAGATCTATTCCCCTTTCTGCCCGTCTTGGGTTAAAATTATCATGGTAAACGTCCACCAGCTTGCCGTGCACTGACTGCAATTATGACACTATACTCCGTTTACCTCTAAGCTGGGACTGCGGTGTCTGCGGGGCTACGTGTCTGCGGGACCAATCAGCCACCTTCTTCTCATCACCTGACCCAGCTCTCTGCGCGTGGACATGGGCGGGAGCATGATGACGTGGCGAAAGAGAGGCGTATGACTGGTCCAACGAGGACATAGGTCCAACCGCACTCTCAGCTTAGGGGTGAACGGCGTATAAGACCGTGCAAACCAGGCAATGGTGTGAAGCCGTTAGGTTTGGGAAACTGCACACCCCAGACCAACCTATTAGTTCTAAGCAATTTTTTTTTTTTTTTTTTTCACATTTAGCTAGGGTTTTATTTATTGCACAACAGACAAGTACATGCCTGTTTTAGTTTTTCACAGCTTTTTGCGTAGCACGAAGGAGCCACAGGCTACTTCTTTACGAAGGCGCAAGAAGACACCTTAATCATGCACAAAAACTGCGTTCTGTGGTAGTGACGACCAAAGAAGCCACAGGAGCGTGCGGCCCCGCCAGTTGGTTGCAAGAGTAACGGCGATCAACATTGGGTTATCAGCAGCACAACTGAGCTATGATGCCTGAGCGTAACATTATCAGGAACTGGGGGGCTATGTTGCACGTTTTGGACTCCCAGGAGACTAGGGAGAAGGAAGTGACGTAGGTGTGAATGAACGTATCTTAGCAGCACCACGCAACGAGTCATCAGCGACTCCATCAATCAACATCCAAAGAGTGTTGTTCACGTCACTTCCTTCTCCCTACTCTCCTGGGAGTCCAAAACGTGCAACATAGCCCCCCTGGACGGTTAAAAATTTGACTGTTGATAGCCGCGCAATCTAGCTATCGGTCAACGCTCGGCGCAAATGCTTCCACTCGCCAACGGCATGACGTGCGCGCGTAATCGGAGGCCGTATGCTCCTGCGGCTTTGCCAGCTTTGTCCACGACCGTAAGCAAATGATCGCTTTTCTGTTGTGAATAGACTCACGGCAGCCAAGCTTTCCGAGCCTTTAAGGCCGCCAGGCAGCACGACCACGTCGTACGGGGACTGCTTGACGGCTTCGTCTAGGCTTTTGTCCGGGACGACAACAACATCACGGCTGCACTTCACGGGACTGCTTCCCGTCAATCCAGCAATTGTCACGTCAATCTAAAAAAAAAAAAAAATTAAAAAGTCACATTTTACGCATGGTTCGTGAGGTGTGGCGAAGTCGGGGGAGGTCCCAGGAACCCAGGAACATCCCAGTGCTTTTTTACATACCCCAGCTCTTCTCAGTACGTCAGCGGATATGATGGCTTCCATTTCTTCAGCCCCTTCGGCTAGAATCAGGAGTGCTGTTTTGGCCATGCTGTGCTCGGAGGAAGAAAGTCTACGACGCAAGATGATGGGCAGACTTCGCACGCTCATAAACACCCTCAACCTTAAACCCATAAGCGAATTTGCCGAGAAAAATATTTACTGCTGCCCAATGTTGCCCAGTCTAATAAGCTGGGCGACTAGATGGCCAGATGCTGGGAGTTTATGAATTTTAACCTTTGATTTAACAGTTCTAAAACGCAAAAAAAAAGTAAATTTTACGCTCTCAGAAATTAGACTATTATGCGCAAAAGAGGCTGGGATTACACTCACTGGTGGTGATTATCAATCCACAGGTTATCCAATCCAATCCACAATGAAGCCAGTGAAGCCGTGAAGCGTTGGGCGGCTTGGGCATAGTTTGGGTTTTTCACAGGGGTCTCGAAATATGGCACTGTTTCTACCGCTAATATCGCTTTAGCCCGATGCGCAGCAGTTTTCTAAAGTTATCTCATGAACACGATCACGACTCAGTTGTACTAGGTTAGAGCGACCAAAATTAGTATGCCCAAGATCCGCAGCAAAGGCACTGTCCAGGCCGTGTTATTTCGTGAAATAGGCATCAGCAAATCGCCTTATAGGTTCACTTTGAAGATATTACGACAGCTCGTATGTGACGTGAGTATGCGATTGTTTTTGCCGAATGCTGCACATTTTATCATCTCTAGAGCGCCAAGGAACATAGCAGCGACTAACACGGGGCTCTTGATAATCATGAGTCACGTCAAAGATGCAACAGGTCATCTGGAGCAAGTTGGCGTGATTTGGTTGAATCTTGTCTCCGTAAGCGGTGTACATAGGGTGCAGACACAAGGTGTTGCAGAAATCTGATGGGAGCCACGCGATTTGTGGTTGCAGAAACGCTCGACGTTCACCAAGATCTGGGAGACGCATTCGAAATCTCCAATCGCTTTCGAAGAGTGAGTTGCGTTCGAAACAGACAAGGTCCGCGTACCACGCGCTTGCAGCTTGATTCACAAACTTCCTTGTCATTTCCTTGCAGTGGTCATATTTACCTGGACAACTACAGAACCTGCTTGGCGTTGTGAGTGCCTCACATTTCCATGCTCAAGACGAAGGGTTCATTAGCGTGTTGGTTCTCCTGAATTTCAGGTGTGGAATCAACTCCCTGCCAAGCCCACTTTACAAACTCCCACAAGAGCCAAAAAGCAAAAAAATCGAGGATGCCTTGATCTACATAGGCCCCCTGGTTAGTGAACCACCCATCTGTGATAATGGAGTGCTACAAATTGAAACTGTGGTCCCATGGAACGCGTCCCCAACTGGGACCGCATTCTCATTTGCGCTCCCTCGATTTCCTCCTGATGACGCCATACCGTTGCGTGCTCCTGCTTGCCGCGGTCCTGGCAGTGACATTGTAGTAACCATGAATACGGCAGGTGCCTGTTCTGCTGCGGGTCATTTGACAGTTCACGGCAGCTTCAGCAGCCAGGCGTTCGGGTGCTGCAATACTTATTTGCCATAACTTCGACGACTAACCGCCAGGATTGCGACATCTGACAGCCTGATTTGGCGGTTCCTTTGACATTCTTTTGTTTCCACTTCGGGACCACTTTCGACGCTTAGGCGGTACAGGACACTAAACGTACCAGTGGAAGATGCCTTCCAGGCACCATACGTGAAAAAGAGCAAACTACTGCTAAGCTTGTTGTCTTGCTTGCAAAAGTTTCTGACATTGTGGCACCCTTAGCCATGTTGCACTTGACTGCCATTTGACCGGGTAACTCATTTTTAACTTTGCTTTTGCATACATCGTGGATTTTTTGACTAAAGGATGCACTCAGGTACAAAATGTTTGCAATGGCCCTTACCCCCTTTCACCTAATGGTATGCTTTAGTCAGCCTTTCACTGTAACTCGAGCACATACATACATGCATGCATATGTTTATTGCACGATAAACGAGCACAAAAATTACCCAGGCCTGCAAAAGCATGTGTGTGCTTTTGAATCGGCAAAGCACAAAATGGTTAGGGTTTATAAATGGCGAAGAACTTGTATACAGATAGAGGAAACGTGGTTCAAAGAGCCATGTAGGAACTTCTTAATTCTAAACTTGGCACTGCGAACCATTTGTCGGTCATCCTCTTTATTCCTTATTGCATGTTTGCTCCAGCCACTGTTCTGGCAGCCTCAATTGCTCTCTCTCATGATCCACTGCTGTTTCACTGAATCATACTGAGTACCATTCTTACCATTGGGATGACCCCAGTGGTATGAAATATCGGGGCTGATCTTTGGGACTATTGTGGGGCGTAGATTTTGGATGTTGAGTGGGCTAGCCACAGGCAATGAAGTGTACTTTGTGCTTGAATTAAAGCCTTATATTTATTGATGTAAGGGCTGTCAGTCTTGTATCACTGAGCTGGTTTGAGGTTGAGGAGTTGTATTGGGTAAAAATGCTGAAGCCCTTTAGTGACCCATGATGCAGCGAAAAATTTCTTGTCCTGTCTCACGAGCAGTTACTAACATCTGGACGACTTTATGAAATTGCTCATGAAGACTGCCCGACATCTGGGGTATAAAGCATAGATACAGCATCCGAGAAAGACTGTTTGTTTGCCCTTTCTGGGAGTACTTTGTGAGACAAACTGAGCGCTAGCATAAAGGACAACCGACCCTGTACAATTGCACCTCGTCATGGTGTGATGAAATGAAATTGTGTTTAGCTTAGCCTTCAACAATAGAGGGCAATCTTGACATTAGAGCTTTCGACATTTCCTTTAGATAATTTGGTTGCGTGATCGAAATTATTAGCATATTTACAGTGTTGATTGCTGATTGCATATTTATTTATTTTTTAAATGGCTCTTTAATTTTTTTTTATCCAACTCTTTATGAAATATAGAAATTAGGGAAAATTTGCATTGATTTAGGATTATGAACTACTTCCTTTCTATCAGAAATAAAAAAAAAAAAAAGGTTACGCAATAATTAAAGCTTAGAATAGACAGCTTCTTGCGGGCAACAATTGTGAATTACTCTGCCAAAATGACCTTAAAATGATTATTGTGGAGAGCTTACAGTCATTTCTTTCTCATGTTCTTTTGCGATAGACAGTAGAACTCCAATAGAACTCTAACCAATACTTTTTGCCGATGAAAAATATAAGCGCTTTGTATGCCAGGACATGTGCATCTGTAACTTAGCCTTATGGCTGTTTCTACTTTGGGGTCGGCTTCTTTCTAGTCGCCTGCTAAAATTGTAAAGATACCGGTAGACCTATTTCTACTCGGATAAAATTGCTAGTCAGGACGTCAGCGGCAGAAAGAAAGAAATTAATTTCAGTTTGTTTTTCCTGAGCTGCAGTGGGTGAACATTCTGCTCTTTTGTAAGCATGTTTGATTTACTTGCACTACCTGCAGCCATTGCTCTCCAGCTTATTCAGCCCGTAACTGTAAACTATCTCGGAGCATATGCAGGAAGTACATCCTTCAATAATGTGAAGGACCCATTCGACGAGGCACTTTCGGGCTGCTGTGCAGAGTTCGCTTCGGTCAGGTCTGCGTTGCTCGGGGTGATGTGATAAGCGAACCTTCGCTCTATTTTTATTCTAAAAATAAAGTGCGTATGACCAACGTGCGCCTCGCACCGCCGCATAAACTGTCTGGCTGAATGAGTCTTTCGTATCGTTAAAGACTGTACATGGCGCTACGCTGGGTACCTTACGCCGGCCGTACACTTTCACCGCCAATGTGCACACGTGCAGCCAAGGCACGTTGGCTGCACATGTGCACACTTGAGGCTCACGAGACGGCCAAGCATTGCCGAAAGTAGGAAGCTCACGTTCTGGAGGCAGGAAAACTGAAGGACCCCTCTGCTGTTGTCATCCTGCTTTAGCGTAATAGACCGGCTTACCCCAGGCACTAACTCGAGTGGAAAAGCTTAGGCTTCCTCACTGCCCAGTACGAGCCAGATTTAAAGACGTGGTTCAAGCGGCATCGGCACATGTGAACCAAACTCGTGCACCGATTAAACTTTGTCTCGCCGTTTCGCCCGCCTCGCAGAATCGGCTCCCACCCACCGCCAAGGACTGCAGGGCCCGGTTCCTGTCGCTCACGGCAGACAACTGGGTCTACTGCCAGGACAAGATGAATGGCCAGGTGCATCAGGAGATCTACCTCGGCTCTCCGAACCGCTACAAGTTCAAGCACATCGACTGGGAGACCCACGGAGAAACCATCATCCTCCAGTCGCTGCACCACCATCCACATCGCAATATTGCCGTAAGGCCTCATCCTCTCTTGCTACGAGGGGCCGGGGCAGACCCTAGATGGGGCAACGTTCTGGCGAGCTTTCCAAGGTGGAAAACAATGACCGCATCTCCACATGGTGAATGATGTTGTTTGGGACGAAGCTCTGGTTGTGCTGATGATACTGATTTTGTTCATAGGTAGTGCTGATGGTGCTGATTGTTTTTTTATTGCTTATAGGTAGTGCTGATACCGGGTTGCGTTCTGTTTTTTTATTGCTTATAGGTAGTGCTGATACCGGGTTGCGTTCTGTTTTTTTATTGCTTATAGGTAGTGCTGATTCCGGGTTGCGTTTTGACTTCATTATTACAGCTTTATGGTTGGTGAAATGCAGAGCTAGTGGTTCTTCTAGCGGATCAGCTTGGATCCGCTAGAAGTAGCGGATCAGCTTGGATCCGCTAGAAGCCGTGGGGACGCATCTCCACCGCTTAAGTCAACGGTCCATATCAGAAAGAGACTGCGGGACGAGTAGGGGGCTCTGAGATGTGGTAGTAACTCAAAAGCTGGGGATGTCATGGATGAAACGTTGCATGTAGCCGCTCAACGTCTATACAGGAGAGGGCGCTGCGGTCAAATGCGTATATAATCGTGTTAAACTTTCCATGCATTGGCTCAACGTTTATAGACGAGAGGGCGCTGCAGTCAAATGCTCAAATGCGTATATAACCACGTTCCATACCACACATTCCATACCAACGCAACCCGGAACTCAGCACTACCTATGAGCGATAAAAAAAAATCAGCACCATCAGCACTACCTATGAACAAAATGAGTATCATCAGCACCACCAGAGCTTCGCCCCAATCAACATCATTCACCACGTGGAGATGCGGTAATTTTTTTTAAGAAGACAGATGGGATGGCAATCGATGTGGGCACTGACGCCGGACCAGGCTAGACCCATTGGAGCTTCGCCCCTAAAAGTGCACGGTTGGCGGTGGTTCGCCTGGCTGAGACCTTGCCTGTTTGGCGGCACCAGTCGTTACCTTACTGGTACGAATGTACGACATTCGATTGATCGTGTTGCACTCTCAATCTCGGTCAACTTCGTCGACTCGGCGTTTGCTATGCGCTCACTCGACTGTGCCGCATCGAGGTGTGCACTCCTGTCAAGGTGCTCCGGGCACAGGCTCTTTATAAAGCAGAAAATGCTGATGATAATGATGATAGTTACTATCATGATGGCGACAATGATGATTATGAGTACAGCATGATATCTCAGTTTTTCACCTTGACAACTTAATATATGTTATGTCCTATAAAATTTTGTGTAAAGTACTTTTTTTTTTAAGGGGGACAGTACCTAGAAAAAAAAATTCTCCAAAGAAAGGTTGATGTTGAAAAATGCCCTATTTACATCTGCCAACATCTAGAGTTTTCCCAGAAACTTTCATTTGTTTACAGTGCATAGTTAGTCTTTTATAAATTATTTTTAGTCCACCAATACTAAAGAAAAGGTAGAGGTTTGGGCACTTTGAATGCATTTTTCTCCATTCCACTTTTTAGCATAAGTTTCACTTTAATAAAACTTATATTTCAGTATGAAACTATCAAGACACTTAATATTTGTGGCTTATGTGCCAAATTTTATGGAGCCGGTTACTATGAACTTAGATTTTGCATTTTCATGCTCCTTTAATATGAAGAATTGTAATTTGCAAAACTTGGTAAATGTAAAAACAACAATTTTTTTCGTACATTGTTTTACCTGGAAATTGCATATTTTCTGAAATTTCTTTTCATAATAACTGGCAACAGGTACTTCAGTATGCATTCCTCCAGAAAAATATGTGGTTATCAATTCTATTTCTCAAAGATAAAATCTTTGAGCAGATTCCATGCAAAGCTACGCTTTACTTCATTTTGGGGGTATAACATTTGTTCACAGGGCTGAAACTTCGCATGCTCTCCGTTTATATGGCTACAAACACTACCTGCGAATATCACGCCGATTGAGTGAGCGGTTAAAAATTTGTCATTCCCAGGTAGTGTCCCCCCTAAAACACCGATAGATGCAATGACGGAAGTCACTGACAGGACAGGAAGCACGGGACATCCCTTTCGGATGATTGACCTCCAGCATGTGTTCATGGCCTTCTGTCATGCTTTGGACGCTCGCGAGACGCCCAAGTGCTATCGACGGTAGGAAGCTGCACACTGGAGGCTGGACAAGTGGCTGTAGAGGATACGCAGTTTCGTTTTTGACAGCGAGGTGAAGGTACTAATTCTTAATCACAAAACAGTTTCAAGAGTCATTGATTGCTAATCACTCTTTGATATAACTTTGAGATGGTCCTCGGATGATGGTGAAATATTAATGAACATCCGTCGGAAATGTTGCATAGTGCCTCGGACACTTGTGTCTTGAGAAGTGTTGCTCTGCAGGTAGGGAAATCGCTATTGCAGTGCAATCCAGTTATAACAATAATAATAAAAAAAAAAAATTCAATCATTATTATTGATTATTGTCATATCTGGACTAGATACTGGTTGTTTGTAGTCTAGAAACTTTAGAAGCTGATCGTTATAGTAAGTGGTACATTGCTAGATGTGGTATCGTTATATGTGAATTGCACTGTACGCGTGTTTACAGGATCATTCAAAAACATATTATACCTGGGTCATATCATCCGAAAGACAATTACTATTATGGGTAAGGTGTACCGGCATCACACAGCAGTGTTGCTTCTTAATCGGTGCGAATTCTCCTGCACATTTGGGTGTCCCACAGGAATAAAATGACTCTCTGCTGCTGTAGCTCTGTAAGGGGGACTGGAGCCTTGTCAGGCGGCTTTGGTCGCCTTTTGCTCCAGCCTCCCAAACTTCTGTCCTAAATGAAGAACGAAAGAAACTGTGCATGATCTCTGTTATCTCTAAGCTAGGTAATAATCTGCAAAATTGTAATGAAGCAAAGGCCCTCGCGTCATTAAATGCAGCAGAACTCTGTAGTTTAGGTGCCCGAAAAACCTTATTTTTACCTTACCCCTCCAGTTCTTGTTTATAAAAGAAATCAGTTATTCTTGTTAGCTCCTTTTTGAAGGTAGCAACCCAAGAACCAGGTCAACAGTCCCGTCATGCAGACTCGCAAACCTTCGAGTGCTGTCAAAACTTCTACGCACAATTGCGCACGTCAGCACGCACACGTCGGTGCCTACGACATTGCGACATTGTCCTCTTCGTTTGCAGTGTCGGCATTGAGCACGATTTTATCCAGTGACATTGTATCATGGTTGTAGGTCTGTGTAGACATTGTCTGTGGAGGTCACACATTGGCGGTGGCCAGGTGTGAAACATTCTGCATGAGTGATAGAGCTTAAGTGTTTATTGTTTTTCTTTGGAGGTCCTGATGAGGACCTATTGTCATCACTGTAAGATACAAAGCAAGTGCTTACCTAAACGTTGAAGATTATCACTTAACGATGGGAATGGGTGCTTGTTAGGTTCAAGAGCGGGAAAGCATGAGGGGCATGTGGTAGGGCAGGCCCTTGTTTGGCCCTTGTTTCATCCATCAGAACGGTATTGGAGCAATGTTGAATAATCAACGTCACAGACCAAGACGACGAGGAAGTTTGCTATCAAACTCTGAATATAAAGGAAAAAGAAGACCTCGCTGAGAATTCATTGCCATTAAAAGTCACCATCAAATCAGCTGGCCGTCGTCGATTCTCTTGTAAACCAGTATCAGGGAAAATAGTTAACTGCAGTAAAGGGGTTTGGCAGAAGCCCTCATTTTTAAAATGGCGAAGCTTCACTGCTTTGTACTAGCGTACTTGGAGAAAGCAGCTTGCTTGAAGGAGCATCTCGCTTAGCTTGGTGGGCTCAGAAGTTTGCTGCAGTGGGCACTTCATGTTTCCTTCGCATATTTTTCAAACATTTTTAAGAAACAGGGCGTGTGCGCTTATTGCGACATGGGTGCTTGCCAAGTATTTTTCGGTAGTAACATTATTTTTGCACAGAACTCCAGGAGCAAACCAAGAGTACTGATCACCATTGCAGTCTTCAGCGTGTTCCCTGTCCAGTTCAAAGGCATGCTAGAGATTGATCGGGCGGTAAGCTTGGTTCTTTTTTCCACATAATGCATGCCGCCATTATTTTCAATCGACATGTTATTTTACTCATGGAAATGTCGAGGTCAAGAAAACGTCACACCAGCCTCTGCTCACTTTGTGGAGGAATGTCCTTAACGTCCAACAAAGATGTAAGAACAAACTGGCAGGAATGATTTTCATCACCGGTTTTATGGACCATCATGCTTGTTGGCTCGTATTCCTTATAAAAACAGTGGCAACCCCCAAATATATATATATATTTTTTTTAAGCATAAGATTAGGTTGTTAAAACAGCACCCAAAAATATTTTCGCTTCGGAGTCGTGTGTTAGCTAAAACAAATGTGCAAAGCTGAACCAATCCCAGAGGACCGATGCAGTGGACTGCCATGTCGGAAATTCTGGGAGTTGCTGGGGGCAACTTGGGTTGTTTCGCTCAAGGCAATTACACATTCAAGTTCGGTCCAAGAAAAAAAAAAAAAAACAGTATTTTGCGCATAAATAAACTATGCATTGTAAAAAGCTGAGACTGCGTGATGGAATTCAAACAATTGAAAAGATGACCTTATATGGGTTGAGAGATGAAACAAAAAAAGTTAACTTTCTCTCTATGAGCCAACATTTTTATGCCTAATACAGCCGAATCTCGTTAATTCAAACTCGATTGGGGCTGAAAATTTGTTTGAATAAAGCAAAGTTTGAATTATCAGGAGTTTTCTCCCGTAGAGACGCATAGGATGGGATCTGCGTGTTAGTTTGAATTATCCACAAGTTTGAATTAAGAGAGTTTGAGTCAATGAGAGTTGACTGTATTCGTCAATCCAAAAAATGACATTGTTGATGCCTGTGACGTTTATTGCAAGGAATAAACAACTTGTCAGCTTAAAAGAAAACAAGGTTGTTTTTCTTGCTGACAAGTTGTTTTCAGTGAAAGAAGTGGCACAGGCAGCCATGATGCCATTTCTTGGTTTGACAAATATTAGGCCTAAGTTGTTGGCTTACAGAGAAATTTTGTTTTTGCGTTTTATTTGTTGCTCCAGGCCACGTCACATTTTCAAACTCTCGCATTCTACAACCACCGCTAGTGTCACATTCACAGAAAGTTTCAGCTTTCCAAGATGCATAGTTCATTTATTACATGGGCCAAAGAACCTGGTTTTGTTTTCTTTTGTCGCACACTGTAGAATAGGGGCACTCTTTACACTGTCAAACATTTTCAACAGTGGAGCATTCAAACATTTTCAAGAGTGGGCGACGGCAGTTCCTCCACCAACCTGGCCGACAGCAGCGGAGGCGGTGAAAGGCATGCAGGTCACTTGCCTTTCAGCACACCCGCTGCTTCCTTGGAGAGAGACATTTGAATGAACCCACCTTTTTTAAAATATGTGCTGCCACCTATCGGGACACCTGGGTTCGAGACTGTGTGCTACCAAAACAGATCCGCCATCTTACATGTCGTACACAAGCCTCGTTTACCGAGCCCTTTTCGCGGGAAAGAGCTTTTTACGCGAGGCACTCCATCCTTTTCCAAATGTGTACTGCCGCCTATTGGGACATCCGGGTTCGAGATTGAGTGGCTAGGAAACAATGCTTTCGCAAGGTTTTTCTGACTCATTTGGCCGCGGTATCTGGGTACCCTCGCAGTGTTTCCAGGCTTTCCAGTTGCATATCTTTGAGAGAACTAAATCTGGTTTGCGTTTGAGGCGGACCCCTTTGTCATTACCCCGAAGCCACTGCCAACCCCTGCCAGGACCCAGGTGTACTTTCAGACAAACCCTATGTTGCTGCGGCATGAGTTTATGCCGCTCACCTTACAAGAAAAACACTGTTACCATAGAAGGTGATTGCTGACACCCTACAGACGAAAACTATTTAATGTCATAAAATAAATGACAAAGCATTCAATTGAAACAGATAGGCTCACGACATGACTCTGCCGAGATTGTTGTTGTGGCTTCGTTCCTTCCACGCTATCAAAAGTTTCTTTTTACTCTTTTTAGAGCGCAGCTCTTAGGCACCCGTTTCCAACTCGAGTGGCGTCGCCGTCGGTGTCCGCGTAACCGCGCGGTGCATTATGGGACGCATGACGTCACTGATAACCTCATCAGTGACGTCACTGATGACGCCATCAGTAATGTCACTGATGACATCATCTGCATCATCATCATCATCGTCCCTGATGACGTCATCCACATCATCATCGTCCCTGATGACATCATCAGTGACGCCACTGATGACATCATCAGCATCCGCATTGTCATCGTCACTGATGACGTCATTGGCGTCGTCACTGTTGACGTCACTGATGAGGTTACGTGACCCCGTTGACGTCACGTGACTCCCGTGAGGTCACGTGATTCTCGTGAGACGACGGCGACGCCGCTCGGAGGCAGGAGTAGCAGACAAGATGAGGAGGTGAGGAGGAGGGAGGAAGAATATACTCTCCCCTCAGTACCCTTCCCCTTCTCCTCCTCAAGAGCTGCGTTCTAATCCGGCGTTACAGGGAGTTGTAAATGACTCCTTTTTTTCATCAATATGCTTGCATGTGTCACGTCGTACTAACATTTCAGGAGGCTGAACGGCATGGTTTAGAACAAATTGGCATGCCCAAAACGAAAAAAGCTCTTTCCCGCGAAAAGGGCTCGGTAAACGAGGTGCGCAACTGTAACAGCATACAAATGGCGGATCTGTTTTGGTATCACGCAATCTCGAGCCCAGGAGCATTTCAGAAAAAGGTCCATTAGACGCGGCACACCTTGGGGTGGAAAGGTACAGTCACTCCACTGAATCTATTCTACAAGGTCCAATTTAGAAAATTAGACCCTATATTGTGAAAATAAACTATGGGTCGCAGACAGCTGAAACTTCATGTGATTGTGACGCTAATGGTGGTGGTAGAAGACAGAGTTTGAGAAAATGTTATTTACATTAAGAGAAAAATTTATATCATGAGTTGATATCCACCTGGGCCCAATATTCTTCAAACCAAGAAATAGCATTGCAGCTGAGCCTGTGACAATTATTTGAGCGAAAAAATCTTATCACCAAGAAAAACAAAGTTGGTTTCCTTTTTGCTGGACACCTTTCTTTATCAAAATAAATGCCTTAAAGGGGTACTCCACCGATTTCTTGAGCTACCTCAACTAACTATATTTTCTGACTCCCCGGCCTTTACTCTCTCCGGTATGCTATTTAGAATCGCGAAATTCATAATAGTTATTGCGAAATCGACAAATGAAAATGATGCAAAAACCAACATTCAAATATACGCGCGCTTTTCAGGGCCGTGACGTCAGTGGCAGGCAGGCTTGCCAGTCGAGCAAGCAGCCAAAAAATAGAATATGCCAATCATTTGTTCCGTGCCGGAGCACGGGTACTGCAGCGAGCTTTCCAAGCATTCATTTGACACCATGAAACTGCCTCGAATCAGTTTAAAACGAAATCTACAGCCCAAAGTGTGAACCCCTGCCTTCCACTGACGTCACTTCTTCATTGTTGCCAGTAGAGACTTCGAGCTTGAAAAACACGGTGAGGACCAAAACTGTAAATTCAATAACTTGGCGAAAAAACAATATTTTGACCTAATATTTGGGATACTATTTTCGCGATGTTTGTTGGTTAGTTTAGCAAAATTTCAAGCAAATCGGAGACAATGAAAAGATCGGTGGAGTAGCCCTTTAAGCACCCTTTTTTTTTTTTTTTTTTTTAATATTAGGCTTAGGTGGACGTTGGCTCGTCGCAATATTTGGTTTTTATTTTTTATCTCTTGGTCCAGGTAATGTCCTCTTCTCAAAAGTTTGCGTCCTGTTCCCACTGCTGGCATCACATTCTTGCGGAGATTTAACTTTCTGCAATGCATACTTTATTTATAGAACTCGTTGAACCGGATGTGGTAGTGTGCTGTTTCTGGGTTCATCAAAATTTTATTTTGTGGATTCTATTTTTATTAATGAACATGTGCTACATACAGCTTGGTAATACTTTTCAGATATTCCGAGTTTTGTATCATGATTTTACATGAATAAAAAAAAGGGAGTGAGGAAAGCCTTGTGCAGCCAATTTTCGAACATCAGTTTTCTTAAAGAAAAAAAAAAAAGTGATTTTGAATCGCAAATATTTTTTTCTAGATCATCATGCTTTTTTGGGTTGTCTCTTTGTGTAAATCTAGGCTTGTTTAAATGTCTCGTGAGCAAACATGCAAAACTGTCTGCTCAGTTCGGTCTTGCCAATATGAAATTTAATGATTTTGATTTCTGCCTTTCAGATTTTTGGGAAGGAATGCAATCATGCCAATGTGTCTGAGGGCCTGCTCATTGTTGGTACTGGCAGTACCCTAACTGGGACTGTGAGGCTTTACAACTTCAGGGATATCCTTGAGCAGGTACTTGCTCCCATCTCCCTTTTCCTTTTTCTCTTGCAAATTAGATAACCATAATTTGCTAAAGGACACTCGATAGGACAACACTATTATATTGTGAAATATTTGGGTTTAGTCATGACTTGTGCTTAACGTGTGCTTCTGGATTGTGTTGCCTAAATGTTTGGGGGAGACTAGCATTTTTATTTAGTCAGGCTCCAAGCATGTTTGGGTGCCGTGATGGACAACATCAATGTTTCGGTTTCGTTCCAGAATAAAAACGTGCCTCCTGGCATAAATATTACGCTAAGCACCTTTCTTGTTTGCAGGATAAAGGGATGACCTACGCTCATGACACCCTAGCTTCCTTGTAAAAGCAGGAATAATTTGTGTCGGTCAGTGAAGCCAGCACACGAGACAGTCTCAGTAACTGGTACACGCGAGCATGCATCTCCGACCCTTACTATAACCGCCATTTTGTAAAACGAGTGGCGCCACCTATAGTGAATTGGAGTCGCAAATATGTGAACGCTGTAGCAAAGTTTTTTCTGGGGATATAAAATTTCGACGCTTGAGGCGTGGAGATTGCCAAGGTTTTACTATGGTACTTTGCACACCGTCACTTTCACACGAAAGCATGCATATAGTAATAATTTTTTCTGTTAATTTAATTAAAGGCTTACAACATCTGGACAGAATATTAGAAATTACGATTAAAGATTTCGATGTAAAAAGAAGCTATGAAACACGTCAAGTAAACACGTTTTAACGAAACATTCACAAATTATTTACCAACAAACTGCCATAATATCTCGAAAGATGCCCCACTCTCACAGTAACCCCTACCTATTTTCAGCTTGATTTGCTATTTTTTTTTTTCAACACCGAAAGATCGCCCACTCCTAGTAATCGCAGTGTTCGGATCAATGATGACCTTGGCGTAAATGCCGTTAATTAGCAATGACGGGATATAAGTGAACCTTGCTGACCAGGAAGTACTACAGTTATCTTTGCTTCACTGCCTCTCACTGCAATAACAAGTTTGGCAGAGACACATAATCTAAAAATAGCATTTTAGAGCGCAGCTCTTAGGCGCCTGTCTCTGCATGTAGTGCCGTCGCTGTAACCGCCCTGCTAAATTTAGCGGGAAATTGAATTGGTGTTGAAGTTACGTGACGTCAATTTTCCCGTTAAATCTAGTGGAGAAACTAAACTTGTTCATAGGTGACATGACACAAAGTCATGTGACGCCATTTTCTCTGCTAAATAACCTGAATGGGTGTTGAGGTCACGTGGCATCAATTTTCCAGGTAAATTTAGCAGGGAAACTGTGGGAGGATAGGAGGGTGTGGAGGAGGAGGAGGATGAAGAGGGGGGGGGGAAGTATGGAGGAAAGGAGGTGCATACCTTCACCTCCGTACCCTCCCCTCCTCCTCTTGAAGAGCTGCGCTGTAATTTCCCATTACAGAGATTTGTAAATGTCTTTCATTTTTTTCTTTTACTTTCTTTGATTGTATGGGTAAGCCAACGGGTAAATAAAGATTTGCTGGAACGCCACAGACAGACGTTTGTAAAGCATTCCATTTCGAGCTTCGTGTTCGTGGTAACGTCCACGCCATGCAGCAACGTCGCCTCGACCCGCATTGATAGCACGCCTTGCACGGACGCACGCATGGGTGCACCCAACAAGAAAGTTGCACAAGAGCCTGCCTGCTCCTTGTGTTTGGCAACGTGCTCAACTCGGCCCAACACCAAAGTATTTGCCGACACAATCACTGGCTTTCCCGCTTCCCCAGCATCACTCTTCGTCGCTTCTTTCGCCCACTCGCTCGTTGCACCTGTTTTTTTTTTTCTTCTATTTTCTTGAATTTTTTTTTTCCTAACGAAGAGAACATAGGGTAGTTAGAAATGTGCTTTCACAGAACTAACGTTTGCGCTGCATGATAATTGGCAATGTTCATCGCGCAAACATCCTTTCATAAGCATTTCTTGCACAAAGCAATGAAACTAACTCGAGTTCTGAGTTTAATGTATCTCTTGTGCAGCTGCACTAAATGTGTACAGAAAAATGTTTTTTTTTAGCTTTTTCTTAACTTTTTGTGCTAACTCACCGAGACATGGCCCAAGCCACTTTTTTTTATTAATCTTTGGCAGCAGGGGGGAGGGCAAGGACTCTGGATATTACATACTCAGTTATGCATAAAATTCTTCACGTCTTGTCACAGTGGGTGATCTGGAAAAATGCTACATCTTGTATAGTCCGCACATGTCGATAGTCCGCACCGGGTAAAATTTAAACTTTTAAACATGCATAGTCTGCGGGCTATAGTACGAAAAATTCGATGTATGAAAGTTGTGTCCTTGGGAGAAGCACTCGGCTAAATATACAGGCTGTTTCTGGTAACATGGGCCTAAGCGCTCCTGCGAAAACTGTGCATCGCACAAAAAATAGGTTGATGCCGTAGTGGTTTCTGCCAAGGGGCCCATTACGGAAAATTATCAGCATTCAGTATACAGTCGAAGCTCGTTAATTCGACTCTGACGGTTCCTCGAAAATAGATCGAATTATAGAATTGTCGAATATCGATCAAAAACGAGTAACGACGTACGTCACGAGAAGCGGCGAAAAGCCAACCGTGACGACGGAGTCTTATTTCGAAAAAAACGCCAATATTTTCTGCTGCCGCATTCCCGTCAGACGCTTCGCAAAAACAAATTTCAACATATCCTCAATGTGCGGCCACATCGTCCCGTCGGTGTCTTCAAACGTTGCGAAGTTCGCAAGTACATCGAGCGCAGCGGATGCTTCGGCAGGAGATGGGCGTGGCGGCGGCTCTTCGGCGTCACTCTCGCAGTTCGGCGTCACTCTCGCAGCTGTCGTCCTCCGGACCCTCGGGACGCTGAACCGATGCGATGATTTCGTCGTCAGTCAATTGACCGCACACAAGCACTCCATCATCTATCGCAACGTAATCATCGAAACTAACGTTTTCGGGTAGAGCGAACATTAGAGCACTGCACTCTTCGTCAAAGTTTTCATCTTCAATTGTGGTTGCGGATGTTGTGGCCGATGCAGTTGCCGATGTAGCAGCCGATGCAGTTGCCAATGTAGACGTAGTAGCCGATGCAGTCCTCGAACTCGCGGTATTTCCATCACACGAGAAACCACAGTGACGAAAGCAGTTCGCGATGACCTGGCTTGGCATGTCCGTCCAAGCTTTAACAAGCATATGAATCGCCGCCGACAGAGTGACTTCATAGCGCTTACCCTGGTCCAGACAAAGCAATATTCTTGCCATGAGATGCTTGCGGTACAAGCCTTTCAGGAGTTTGATTATTCCTTGATCCATTGGTTGCAAGAGTGAGGTGGTTGCGGGTGGAAGGAAAATCAGGCGGATCATAGACAGCTCCGGCATTTTTGTGTGCGCACTGCAGTTGTCCGCTACTAACATGACCTTGCGCCCCTTGGACGCAAACTGGCGGTTCAATTTTTGAAGCCAATCTTGAAAGATCTCACGTGTCATCCACGCTTTTTTGTTGAAACGGTAGTCCGTTGGAAGCCACGGGATGTTCCGAAAGCATCGTGGCGTCTTGGATTTCCCGATCACCAAAAGAGGCAGACGTTCCATGCCTGTCATGTTGGCTGCCACGAGCACAGTCACCCGCTCTTTACTGCGTTTTTCCCCAGTGCAAGGATCCCCTTTGAATGTTATCGTTTTGTCGGGGAGAGCTTTGAAAAACAACGCCGTTTCGTCGCAATCGAATATGTCCTCGGGCGCATACTCCGCAAGAATACGTGCGAGCTCTGACGTCTTCCAGTTTTCACACAGATCTTCATCCACATCGGCTCTTTCACCACACACATGCTTAAAAATAAGAGAGTGCCTCTCCCTGAATCTTGCGAGCCATCCCTCGGAAGCACGGAATCCCTCGATGCCCAAACGTTCGCTGAACTGTTGAGCCTTTGGGCGAATCATGTCTCCAGTCATCGGAAGGTTGTGCGTTCTTACTTCTGTCACCCATTTGTAAACGGCTTCGAGTTCTTGATGGGCTGCACTGCGAAGCGTTTTCTTGAATTCACAAATTGCTCTTCTTCAAAAGCTTTCACGATTGCTGCTTCATTCCTAATGTAGGTAGCAAGCGTGCTTTTCTTGAGGTCATATTTTTCGACAATTTCTTTTCTGGACAATTTTTCCTCCCTAACTTCGTTGAGTATGTGAACTTTTGTTTTTAAATCATTCGAAAAGTACTTTCCTCGCTTTTCTTTCGACATTTTTCGGTATGAGCGTTAAACGCCGCGCATTCCAAAGAACAGAAACCAGAAACCGCGTGACAGCACGGTCCCTCTTCATCGCTCGCTCATTTTTCTCCAGTCTCCTTCTCCATCCTGCCGACGTTCTTTCTCTCTTCATCGCTCACTCATTTCCCTCTCGTTGCTCCTGTCTCCTTCCGCGCGCCTCCCCATGTGATCGGGCCGGTGCGCTCTGACTGGGTCTTATCTCGGCTAATCAAATCGGCCCTTTCTCCGGCGCGAGGCGCCGGCGAAAGGGCGCCTGTCTGCGCGGGCGCTCTTTCACGGAGCGCGCCCCGGCTCGAGGCGCCGGGGGCGCCGACGCGCATCGCGCGTCTGTGGAGGTGTCGCAATCGGGCGCGGGCTCGCTGCAGCGGCTGTTTGCCAATATGGGTAGGGACGCGTGTTGTGTTCTGAGGCGCCGTTTTAACCTTTAAACTTATAGTGTTAGCTTAAAAAATATTTCCCGGTTACGAAGATGCTGGCTCACCGGGACGAATTATCGGGTTGGGGATATTTATCAGATCGAAATACCGGGGTTTTCTGCCTATTGAAGCCTGTACATTTCTGACGGTGCTAAACGGAAGGATTGAATTAACGCAATGATCGAAATAACGGTAGTCGAAATAACGAGCTTCGACTGTAATAGAGTAATAAATTACTTTGAGTAATTAAATTTTAAAGTATTAACAACAAAGGTGCTGTTTCAATCAGAAACTTGATGCAAATCGTC